TAGTTCGGTTCGAGGCTCCAATCCCACAAACGGGCAGGTTGCATGGGCGTTTTCGTGGTTTTCCCCCATGTGTAACATGTATACAAGCCATTTTTTCATAGAAAGTCCTCCACAAAGGCATCCCTTCCCTTAGGAATATAGCCCTCAAGACTTTTACATAAACCAAACCATTCCCCCAAAATAGCTTCATCACCGGCATTGACAAAAAGTTATATCGACTATTCGCGAATTTCGGGATATTTTTCGAATTCTGACATATCTTGAAGCAGGTTATTTCACTAAGATCTAGACCAGCGGAGCCCAACCTTGTGGTCGCCGATCGTTTTGTATGTGCCCGATTAAGTAGTATGAACAAAAAAATATTTTAAAAATAACCATTCATTTATATTTCTTAATTGTTAAAATATGGTAAGCATTTATAGTCATAAGAGATATCTTGCAAGACGTTATAAAATAATTGATTGTTGAATGATAAACTTGATAGCGAATATGGAATCTTATTGCTTCATTCCGATGTCAGATGGTTCAGCCGGAGAAAAAGTACTTCAACGATTTGTAGAACTTCTTTCGCCAATAAAGCAGTTTTTGGAATCTGGAAACGAAAGTTATAAAGAATTGGACTATAAAAATTGGTTATCCGATCTGTATTTTCTCACAGATATAACAGCTAAACTGAACGAAGATCTCCAGAGAAAAGAAAAAAACCCTTTTTCAATTGACTGGGACTGTAACTGCTTTTCAGATAAAGTTAAATTTGTTGATAAATCAGATGAAAGAAAAAAATGTCACCCATTTTCAGAATTTATCAAGACATATTAATATGAAACAGAGAAATACTCAGAAAACCTAAATGCACTGAAAAAAAATTTTTGAACACCTCTTCTCTGATTTCTATAAAGTTCAACGAATATTATTATTCATCTCAAACCCAGTTGCCGAAATTAATATTTCAGATGTATCACATTAGATTGGAAATATGTTTAACAAAAATGTTGATGATTTGGAAATTTGCTCTCGATAGGTCAAAATGTGCTCCCGATAGGTCAAAATGTGCTTTTGATAGGTCAAAATGTGCTCTCGATAGGTCAAAATGTGCTCTCGATAGGTCAAAATGGGCTCTCGATAGGTCAAAATGGGCTCTCGATAGGTCAAAATGTGCTCGCGAGAGGCCAAATGTTGGGCACCACTGATCTAGACTCTGGTCATCATTGTTAGATGAACAATGTACCACAATCGCTTTGCACTACGCTTTCACTGTTAAATGTGACTAGCTTTTGAAACTATATGATATTGCAGCAGTTTGACCCAATTTAAAAATAAAAGGAAGGGAAAAAATAAAAGGAAAGGAGAAAAAAGGGCATAAGACATCTTATCGAGATAATCTAGAAACGTTTACAGTGGCTATCGCTTTTATAACGACTGCAACACTTACTGTAAACAAATTTCTTTAGTTAACAGTGAGCAAATGTAAATAGTTTTTTATGAAAGAGAATTTCGAATCTGATATTAAGTCGTGATTGTATTAATCTGAATTGACAGACTCGGACTGCACCCGTTGATTACCCAGTGAGTCGAATCCATGAAGCTTTGTTGAACTAGGAAACATATTGTGGTAGAATTCAAGGATTTCTAAACCATCTCAGGGTGTCTAACCAAGATAACATGGCTAATCTTTAGAATATGGTAGCAGGTAGTTTGGCGATATTTTGGTAAGGCGATAAAGGTTACTAGCTAGGACTTTAGCAATAATCTGAGAAGTACACAGTTCGAATCACAGATTATTTTGTCTCAGAGAAATGAGAGATTATGAGACATGTTATGTGACATTTTCCGGAAAATTCCGATCGTGATTTTAGCTAATAAGCACTTGGAAACAATTTCGCTGCTAAAGTACAGAATCGCCCACTTATTTGCTTGGCGCTTTTTACAAGAGTAAGAAGAATTGGATTTGTCAATTTTCTTTGACTTTTTAAGTGAAAATAGGTCGATAGTCTAGAGTGTGAGCAATGCCATTTTTTTGTGCAATTCTGGCATGTATTTTTAAGTGAAAATAGGTCGACGTGTACATGGATACCGTGTATGTGCAATTCTTAAAAACGCGGCAAGCAGTTGCGATTCTGCACTTTCTCCCAATTACGCACCTAATCTTCGTCATGAGTAAGCATTTTTGTTCCATAAAAGTTCTAGTATAAGCGTAATTCGGCTAGCAGATTGTTGGAAAAAATGTTGAGTTAAAAAAAAAAAAAAAAATGCCTTTACTTCGTGAAAACAAAATGGCGTCCAAAACAAAACTAGCAGTTTGCTGTAGCAGGGTTGGTTGCCAGATTTTCGCCAAAAAATCGCCAAGTTATCATAATGTAAAGATTCACGGATAACATTATCAAATCAAATAAATGAGCGGATATCCTAAAAAGTCCTCTGCAATTTTTGTACCTTGCAAACTACCAAGCCCAGCATGACTGCCGGGATATCACCACCTTGAAAACGTTACGGTGAAGAATGGCCAAAAGTTAAAGGAACACATCAATCCTGTTTACTAAGCACTAGAGAATAAACAAGTATTTTCTGCGAATTATTTTTAATAGTTTCCAAGAATAAATGATGTAGATTACAAAGCCCGAGAAACATACGAAGATTAAGATAAATTAAAGATGTGCTAAATACACATCCGAGTTTTGACGGTGGAATTGCAGAAGCCGCGGAAATCATTCAGACTCGGAAATTATAACGTACATGTTTTCATTCTTTTTCAGTTTCAATATCAATGTGCATTTTTCTCAGAAAGATTGTAGGGAAAAAATTTTTTTTGGGGTCTTTTTATTATCAACGTTTTGTGTGTTAAATTTATTAATAAAATATCATGTTCTTTGTACTTCCGCCACATAAATTCGATTCAACAGACAGTCTCACACGTTGAAGCTAACAATGCTTTTATCCGCACAGTGTTTGCCACTGTTCGCTTTTAAATCGTATAGCTTGTTAAAAATTCATTGTTAAAAATATGAAATCTAAAATACAAAATTCACAATTCGGGCTTCCAGGTGCACATGTCCCAATAAAGGGCTACGTTATTCAAAATTTGCTACCATTAGGTACCATCGTTTCTTGTGTGAGAAACATGCGTACATTCAAGCAGATTCTTCACTATTATATTTCTTTAAAATAATACAGGGCGGTAATATTTCGTGGCAACAATTTGAAAAGTGATTCAAACATTTAAAGTGATACGCGGCAAATCCCGTCTCGACTTCTAACTAATAGCCCATTCGGGTTAACGTCCTCTTGGTCTAAAAAGGAAAAAAAAAAAAAAAAAAAAAAAAAAAAAATCTGAAATGTTTCAGATTTTAAATTACGTCCAAAGGGGCGTTTTTTAACATTTTGTAGTGTTACCTTTCTTTATTAAATATCATGTTCCTTCGCACTTAAACCATAAGATCCAGTTCAACAGCAATATCGCAAAATAGTTTTAAAACGAGCATATCTTTAGAATTTCCGATATACAGAGACTCACGCGCTGGAGATAAAAGTATTTTTTTCTGCACAACGTTGCCATTGCTCGCTTTGAAATCCTTGAGCTTGTTAATCAAAAATTCGTCAAAGTTTTAAAAAATAGGAAATCGATCATAAAACAAATTTCAAATTTGGTCTTCCACATGCTCATATTCGTTGGAGGATTACGTTATTCAAAATTCGATGACTCTATGTACCGTTATTTTATCACAATGCGAGAAATATACATACATTTACGCAGATTTTCATTATTTAATTTCTTCAAATATAATGCAGGACTCTAACATTTTATGGCAACAGTTTGAAAAGTGAACCGACATTTATGAGTCCGACGCAAAATGCCAAAACGAAACTAATAGTCCTTCGGGATTCAAATCCCTTTGGACTAAAAAAAAAAAAAATCTGAAATGTTTCAGATTTTAAATTACGTCCAAAGGGGCGTTTTTTAACATTTTGTGTTTACTTTATTAAATATCATTTTCCTCGCACTTAAACCATAAGATCCAGTGCAACAGCAATATCGCAAAATAATTTTAAAACGAGCATATCTTTAGAATTTCCGATACAGAGACTCACGCGCTGGAGATAAAAATGTTTTTTTTTTTTTTTTTTTTTGTTTAATTTTTTTTCCACAACGTTGCCATTGCTCGCTTTGAAAAATCCTTGAGTTTGTTAATCAAAAATTCGTCAAAGTTTTAAAAAATAGGAAATCGATCATAAAACAAATTTCATTTCAAATTTGGTCTTCCACATGCTCATATTCGTTGGAGGATTACGTTATTCAAAATTCGATGACTCTATGTACCGTTGTTTTATCACAATGCGAGAAAATATACATACATTTATGCAGATTTTTCATTATTTAATTTCTTCAAATATAATGCAGGACTCTAACATTTATGGCAACAGTTTGAAAAGTGATACGGACATTTACAGTGAATCGACACAAAATGCCAAAACGAAATTAATAACCCTTTTGAGCTAACGCTCCTTTGGATTAAAAAACGATCATTCGTTTGAATTTTTAACATCAAAACAGAATTAATTAAACTACGCTTTGAAACCATCTGATCTTTATGGGAAACCATTTTCTTTGAATTACTTTAACTAAACGTTTTACTTAAAACATATTTTCTCTTGCCCAATAATATCCTCAATCCGTCAAAACTAGATATAGTTGCAATATAAATTTTTATATATTCAGTTTTTTTTTTTTTTTTTTTTTTTTTTTTTAGTCGCAAGCGGGAAATGAATAAAATGTAGAATTGGTTGTTGTGAAAAATATGTCCTATTTACTAGCAAATAAGACTCATTTCAGTATAATACCTCCTTACCTTGTAAATAAATTTTAGGAAATAAAAGTTATGTAAATATTTGATGACAGTATGACTCTGATTTAGATTGAAAAGGTAAACTACTTTATTAAATAAATTATTTTACTGTGGTATGGAAAAAAAATTAATGATACATTATTATCCATTTATTTTCAGGTATACCAGCAATCAGTATACTGGACGCATAGCTAAACTGAACTGGACAGTTGTAATTAGCGGTAATTATGCAGTTTACATGTACTATAATTATCTCTGTGGATAATTTAGCATTTAAATGATGTAATTATTCAGTAATATTATAATTAAACACTTTAAATATTATGTTATTAAAATATCCGATTATAAAACCCTATTAAATTTTAGAAAAGAAAATAACACAAGATTTAAGTTCTTACTTTCGAGTAAATAGAGTATAAGTGAAATATTTTTTTTTTTTTTTTTTCAATGGTGGGCACTAGCTGTTATAAGTGTTCGTTACTTCTAAGAGCGGAAGAGGTGATCACTTTATTATGGCGGCACGTAACGGGTGGGTTACCGTTACCTCATATGAGAGGAGAGACAATTTACATGCATGCCTTCTCCGAGATTCGAACCCGGACCTTTCGGTACGGCAGTCAGAACCACTAGCCTCTTTCTTGTCTAGGAGGCAGCGGAATACAGTACATACAGTCCGTAATCCGGACGTCCATTATTCGGAATGATCTATAATCCGGACCTCAAAGCCACAAACTTACGCATGCGTGTAAAGCGTTTACCCATACGCGCTTCTGATAGAAAGTGACAGAGAGGTTATTGAAAACGAAAAAATTTCGATTGACAAGTTAGTCGGTATTCTCGACACAGCAATTACAGGACTTGAATAGTGGAACTTTATAACTGAACAAGAAATTATGTCTGTTTATAGAATTAAAGAGAAGGTATTATCACAAAAAACGAAGCAACTTAAACAACTTACATTGAAAGAAATGTTTAATAAAGTAAACAAATAAATATTATTATTATTATTATTATTATTATTATTATTATTATTTTCTAAATTTTGATACCCGTTAGATCATAATTGCTCTTTATTTCCTAAATTACGGTTTCATATTTTTAACTGTATAATTTCTGCATGCCATCTTACCAGATTTAAATTGATGATCTATAATCCAGAAAAACCCCTAATCCGGAATCGCCGAAGTCCAGACGAGTCTAGATTATGGACTTTGTACTGTATCGCGCCTTAAAATCTTTTTTTTATTATTATAATTTTTTAATCGGATTAAAAAAAAACTGGAGGAGGGCGAGGAAACATTTTTTGTATTATGCAATATTTGCCATTTCCTTTTTGTCATTATTGCATCTATGAGGTACGTATTCATGCAATCTTTTTTTTTAGCCCAGAAGTGTTATTAATTTCGTTTGGCATTTTGCGTTGAATCATTATCATAGGTCTATCACTTTCCAAATTGTTGCCACCAAATGTTAGAGCTCTGCAATATATTTAAAGAAATTAAATTAAATAATGAACAATCTGCATGTTTCTCGCATTGTGATTAAACAACGGTAACTAGAGCGACCAAATTTTGAATAACGTAATCCTCCTTCCGAATATGGGTATCTGGAAACCCTAATTTGGATTTAGTTTTATTATCTGTTTCCTATTTTGTAATACCTTAACGAATTTTTAATTAACAAACTCAACGATTTGAAAACGAGCAATGGCAACACTGTACGAGGGAAAAAAAAAAAAAAAAAAAAAATGCCATCAGCGCGAGATACTGTGTATCGGGTTCTTTTAAAATTATTTTTGGATACCGCTGTTAAATTGAATTTTATGCTTAAAGTGCGAAGAACATGATATTTAACAAATAAAGGTAACACAGAAAACGTTAAAATAGCCACTTTGGGCTCAATATAAAATCTGAAAACTTTCAGATTTTTTCCCTCCCCCCTCCTAGCTTTAGTCCTGGAAAATCGAGAGGTGAAAGTTATGTGTTTTATGTTGTTTAAATTAAGAATATAGCATATTATAAGCACATATAAGTAGATGCATCTGATATTACCCTATTCTGCATGCCAAAAAATTTATGTCAATAATTATTTTTATTACTTTTTTTATCACACATTGGCAGTTCGTAAACAGAAGGGGATGAAAAATACGAGTAAATAAGTTAGTTTAGAAAAGTAAAGAAATATATAGCTTGCATGCTTGAGTTAGCCAAGCCAGCGTTTTGTTATTAAAGGTCAAGTCTTAATCAAGAGATAAGTGTTTCGCCTAGCAACCATGCAAAAAAAGACAGTCAACACTGTCTCAGCTGATAAGCTACATGGTGTTTTTTGTTGTAATTTCGTGACGTATTGGTGCTTTCCAAAAGTCTGAATAGAACATGTGGCAACGATTAGATAATTCTTTAAATGATATACATTTTGTGCATTCTGAGTTATAATATGAATGAAATATAACGCTATTAAGTGAACCTAGCGCCAGAGTGTTGCTATGGTAAACAAATTTTGAAAGAGTGCATTTATTCTATTGTGGTTTATGCGCTCTCAGCGAAGTAGATTGAATTTAATCCAATAAGTGTAAATGAAATGGAAGAAAAAATGCCTATAATTTAATATTCCGTACAAGGAAGTCATGTAATGTACATATCAGATTCTTTTACTGTCAGAAAAGTAAAAATGCCGTTCAATTAGACAAAAGCAGTGCTCTGTTGAGCTTTTATTTAAAGCTTCGGTCTGCTCTGGCTGGAATAACAATTTTTATAAAAAATTTAAAAGTACCAGAGCCCAGCTTTGGCGCAATTTAAATCAGATTGTTTCTTTTAATGCAGGCATATAATTACATCGAATTTTTACCAGATAGTTCAATTTTATACCCTAAGGCCGTTCGCGGTAATTAAGTCAATTAGGATGTAATCACACCGCTCACCCGAAGGCGAAAATATAGAAAAGGCAACGTCAAGGGTTAAATTCATCCATTCTAATGAGAATGCACTAGCGAAGTAAAGCACTGCGGTTTTACATAATTTTTGAGTAAGCTATTCGTACGAACTGAAATAATACTTGCATTTAAACTTGTATTCCATATTAAAATGTAACTTGAAATTAATGTAGGTAATTACTGAGAGAATTAGATTTTTGTAGCATAGTTTTACGCAAAGAATTACGTGAGACGAGATCACTTGGGGTCACGTGATATGAACCTACGAATAAGGATGTTGTACCATAAAAGTATAGTAAATTCTTAAAGTAATGTCTTTTACAAATTTATTGTCTTCATTTATTGTCTTTTTACAAAATTTTAAACGATATTAAAATGTTTATGCCTTTAAAATAATACTAAAAAAAAAAAACTTAGAACTAACATTTGTTGACAATTTTTATGTGTATACTACGTTTGTTGCCAATAAAGTGTGCTTGGCGAGATTTGAACCGGCGAAACGGAAAAGTACCTTAAATTCCGTTTAAGCTATCATAATAATTTTTTTACAATGATAGAAAAATTCTGTGTAACGTCCCCTAGATGGCGACACTACACTTTGCGCAAAGGAAGTTTTGAAAGAAAATAGCACGGGTATTGCGCTTTGATTGAGGGTATATAAAGAATAAATATTGAGTCTTATAGCTTTTCTTTCAAATATGAGTAGCGTAATATTTAACTTTCGCCCAGTGGAGAAATTCAAAGATCATATTTAATAGTATATTTGTCTATTGCAGTTTTGACTCATAGGTAAATTGAAGTATCTTGCATTACCCAAATTAGTTTTTATTTCCAGTATCATGTAAATTAATAGACGAAATTTGTTTGAGAAGTTATTACTATGAATGTTTTGCTTATTATACTTTGTAACGTTATTTTATTGCATGAGGACACAAAATAAATTGCGCATTTCAAATCCTCGCCCTCCAAGTATAAGTAAATACGAAGAATATGAATACGGTTGAACTACTGTTGGTAATATAGATGCTGAATTTTTCATCAGTAGTTATGACTTACCTTCGCCTTTAAAAGTTCTATGGCATTTATTTTAAGACGCATTCTGCTTCTTTTCCACAAGTTGTTGCAATTTAGTGCTGCCATCTGTAGGAAAGTACACAGAATATCCGAATGAAGGACTATTTTCTCTATCTCTACATATAATAAAATAAAGAGTCTGTGTGTGTTTTTCGTTCGCGCTGCGCGTAAGCTAATAAACCCACGGCTACGAAATTTAGTACATAGGTGCATCTAGACAATTGCCAGTGCACCTCGAAGCGAGTTTTTCGAAATTCGAATTCGAAATTTTTTTTATTTTTTTATTTTATGTTTTTGTGACGAAATCGCGTCATTTTGATACATAATGGTCTATAGGAAAGCGAGATTTTACTCTACACACTCCATTTTCACTTCGTCATGAAACGTAGGCAGTTAGCTATTTTACGAACTTAAAATAAATTTCGTGTTTCAATAAATCGATTCAATACGAATTTATTCAACAAAGTGAGCTTAACAACGGGATTTTTTCTAAAAAAGTTTATTTTTAAAAATGTACAATTTATTTTTCTTTGATTTTTGGACACGTTAAACTTTCATCCTTGCAACTGCTTTTACAAAAAGAGTTTTGGAAAAATGATAATATTTTGTATTAAAAAAAAAAAAAAAAAAAATTAAATGAAGCTTCCAAGTACTCTTCTCACATCTTTAAAAATGTGATTTTGGCAACAATTTTCCTGTCTTATTGTTGTTGATAGATTTTTGTTGAAATCGCATCTTTTTGAATAGTTTCGTTCTTTTAGAAATATGGGTTTGGCAACCATTTTTCATCGCATTTCTTATGTCACTGTTTTTTAGAGATCGGCATATTTCATTGTCATTTTTATATATATATAATATATTTTTATTGATTTTTTTGATAAAGTTGTTTTGCAGAGTAAAATTGTGCGTAGAATTTTTTGTTTTGTGAGTTTCTTTCATGTTATTTTTTTGCTTATTTCACTGTGTGTAAGATATTGAAAAGTTTTGAGTGATTTTTTTTCTTCGACGGAATGTTGCTTAATTTTTTAATTAGGATAAATAATATTTGTATTAAGGCATATATCTTATTTCATTGTAATTTTTTTTCTCTTGAAAATATAAGATAAAATATCATTAATTATAATTTGCTTTTCAGAATTTTTTGTTTTTTGTATTCTTTTACGTTATTTATTGCTGATTTCACTGTTTTTAAAACATTGAAAAGTTTTGAGCGATTTTTTTAGGAAACAAAGTTCTTAACCTCCTTTATACCATTTGAGTTCTTAAGATT